AGTCTGGCAAATACCTTAGATGATTGTCAAACTATTCTGACTAATAGCCTTTGCGCATAAATCGTGACAAAATCCTTTGAAACATAGCATCCTTGGTGGATTCTAATGGAGCGTGGCGGATTCTATGGATCCTGACGGCTCTTTTTGGATCCTGATGGATCCTAGAATCCACCAGGAGCCGCTTTTTCCCCCTTGGAAAATCGTCTCGATCAACTCTCTCGCCCAGAATACGTATTCGTTGATTGAGATCATTCAGTGTACGCATCTGATGGGGTAAATCATCGTGTGATGAAATGGAATGAAGGTGCAAAACAAGGCATTGCCATGGCTGGTGGTCAAGGATATGGCAATGGTCTTACACAATTGTCTTGTCCTCAAGGAGTCGCTGTCAATCAATTGGGCACTGTCTATGTGGCTGATCGATGGAATGATCGAATCATGCGTTGGCCCAAAGGAGCCACACAAGGAAGTGTCATTGTTGGTGGAAACGGTGAAGGAGGACAATCGAACCAACTCAATTGGCCCTTCGGTTTGTCATTCGATCGACACGGTAATCTCTATGTCGCCGACTATGGAAATCATCGAGTACAAAAATTCAATATCGAATTCAAAAGCGCCAAAGAGATATGCAGAGTTGATCTCGGTGTAGGTACATTGAGGTTAAAAGAAAAACCTACCCCCTAATCGCTTTAATTTTCGTTCTGTTTTGGAAAACATTACGAAGCACTAACAGTTGCCTATTTCAGTGGATTGTAACGAGTTCCTGGTTGCCAATGATCGTAATATATATGAACCTAGTAGTTTCCTGTTGACAAATTTCAATTGTCTTCGAAAGCTAAGTTGTAATAATTTGGTAACACACTTTTCCAATTTATGAAACGGCATTCTTAGGGGATATACAATGAATTTACAGAGATGTTGCCAATGTCTCATCACATACTAGCACCGGAAACTGCTCTAATATCTAAATATTAATAAATCTGAAATGAGAATTTTAATATCAGAAATGAAT